CTTTGAATAAATTGTTCCTATTAGAAATCAATTTTCTCTGAAGTTGAGGATGTGGACGTAGACGAGAGTGCATAGTGAATATCAAAGTACACATACAATCACCCTAATCAAAAGTTTGTGTTTGAACTTCTCTACAAAATCATACATGATTGGGGCCAAAGATTGTTTTACAAATATATTGAAAAAGTGAAGATCATGAATGTACAATAAAGCTGTGAAAATTAAATATGAAAAATTTTATGGATCAGCGAAATTTTATTATGATGTGTCCGAGATAGTTTCATTACAAAGAATTGAGTTCTGAACAAAAGATGATCAACAACACTGTTTTCGATCGTTCAGGCTCAGTTCAAACAAAACTGACTGTCTAAAAAATCAAATGGCATCTGCTCTTCAAAAGCTAGCTGTCAATAAGTAAACTAGGTATTGAAACAAAGTGTACATCGTTTGCTATCATATGAGAATCTTAGCTTTTTTCCACATAAGAAAGTCCAAGAGTCAACCTAAAGTGATCTGCTTAAAGAGTACGATAATGTTGCAAACTGAATGCTAGCGGAATTTGTTAATTTAATGTTCTGTAAAAAGACTAGAAAAAGAAAATAGTTTAAGATTTGTACTTGTTTTCAATGCAAAATCACATCCAATCCAAAAATCAATGGAGGAACTTGTGTTTAGAGAGAGTACAAAAGAAATATTAAACATACTAAGAAAATAATTTATTTTGCACCATCAAATTCTAAATGATTTCAATAAAAAGTTAATCATAATGAATTCATCTCGCCTTTTCAAATCAGTTTCCATTTGATTTTGTTAATGTTTCAATATCTGACTTCGATCGTGGTTCAAAATACATCAGTTGTTAAGAAGTAACTGACAATCGTTCAATGTTGGATATATATTCAATAAAATATTCAAGATCAGTTATTGAACTTGATAAAGGAATAGAATATGGCATTAAACATTGGTGAATATTAATAGCCGAATTATCATCAGAAATATCGAATCGAAGGTGTATTAATTGATATTTATCAGAAAAAAATTGATATATCAACTATTTAAATTAACGAAAAAAACATGGTAAATAGAATATCTAATCTACTACTCTCATATATATAATTTATTTTTATTTTCAGAGATCTCACTTGATATCTCAGGTTTGCGGCACAATCATATTTCCGAGATGCAATACTCTTTTAAAAATAGTTACTGTTCAAAAACGCCTTAATTCGAATACATAGAATCTCAAATTCTGAAACTGTATATTTCATGTTGAATATGTGATTCACTTACGTAGGAGCAGTTCAAAGACGAAATTCGAAAATATGAGTTGCTTAGAAAGATGTTGTCATGGAGCAGCGGCGGATCTAGGATTTTTTTGATAGGGGGCGATTTTGACCAAAAATCGAGTTTTGAAGTTCATTAGTAGTAGTATGCACTCTATTTTTAAGTCTTTTCTGCTGGGAAAAATCGAAAATTTTTTTTTCGTATGGGGCGATCGCCCCAAGCGCTCCCCCCCCCTCCCTAAATCCGCCACTGTCAAGGAGAGCTATTTGGAAAAAAAAACATCTTACAAACTTGCTAACTCCATCAAATCTCAATAGAAATTCAGATATGTTGAGATTTATCCTAGGGGGAAAAGCGTACTTGAAGTAGAAAAGTACACGAAAGTACAAAAGTAACTTGAAGTTATCTCAAGTTGATCAAATTACCCAGAAGTGGTTCCAAGTACATTCAAAGTATCTGAAAGTACTTTCAAATACATTCAAAGTATTGAAAAGTACTTTCAAGTAACTTTAAAGTATCCCAAAGTACTTTCAAGTACCTTTAAAGTATCGCGAAGTACTTTCAAGTACATTAAAGTACCGAGAAGTGCGTGCAAGTACTTGAAAATGTCCTCAAGAAGCTGAAGTTCATTATATGAAATTAAACTAAGTGGATAGAACATGAAAGGTTGTTTAATGGAATTGTAAAGCACAGAAAAAATGATCATTAAAAACGAAAAAAATCGAAGCAATGAGTTCATCAATCTCTATTAGTTGTTTGCTGCATGACACGAGATAAACGATCACTTGATAACTTTGTTATTTTATTGGATAACAGCCAACAAGCCGATTGTTTGTGAAGATACTTAATTTTCTCGTTTATTTTTATCTTGAAATACGATTGTTTCAACATGGAATTAATATCATCAACTATTTTTATTCCATTGAAGTCGGATTTTGTTGAATTTAATATTTCTTCATTGCCATTCTCATCATCATTTTCAAAATCTACTAGGACTTCATCGTTGAGCTGATCTTGTTCATTGTTTTTCGCATCATTATCATCATTTTCTTCGTCCAATTCAAATTCTTCGTTGTTATCAGTTACTGTTCCTGAAGAATAGCTAAACATTTTCGAACTTTTACATAAATTGCCGAAAACAAATCCACTTAAATCTTTTAAATCAAGTATATCATGCTGCGTAATACATCTAACATATTTGAATCTTCGACTATATGTATTGCTTGATCGTATGCATTCAATATTATCTGTTCGACATTTAATTTATCAAATTCATCTAATTGATCTGACAATACTAATGAATCATCATGTTTATGTTTGTGATGTGTGGGAAAAGATATAGTATCATCCGATTGATCATATTTGAATTGATTCAATATTGATAATTTTTGTGAACGTCGAATAAAATTGCTGATAGTAAAGTTGACCACTGTCGAGAATGAATCACTTAACGATCTTGCATCTCTAAATAATGACTCGCGGGTGTGGGTGTGGGTGGGTGTGGGTGTGGGTGTGGGGTGTGGGTGGTATAGGGTATGGGTGGATGGGTGTGGGTGGGTGTGGATGTGGGTGTGGGTTTCGCTCAACAGAATGATAACGTCCACACCCACATCCTCACCCACACCTTCACCCACACCCACACCCAACCCACACCGACACCCACACCCACATTCACACACCCACATCCACACCCACGCCACGCCCAACCCACACCCACACCGACACCCACACTCACACACCCACACCCACATCCACATCCACACCCTCAATTAAGCATTATCCATACATATACATCGAGATATTTGTGATTGAATTTATCTCAATGTATGTGTGTATGTTGATGATAGCTTAATTATTATCGTCTTTTCATCTCTCTCTGATGAGAAAAAAAAGAAATTATCGATTTTTTAACATATAAATATGAATGATTTTCTATGTAAAAATCATTCAATTTATTGAATCAAATTCTAATCTTTTCTTTCTATATTTTAGATTGGCTTCAACGATACAAAATTATTCAAATCAACACAATAAAAAAAAGTGTAGGTATTAGTTTTTTAATTTTTTTTGTCTTTTTACAATTATTTGGAGGGTGGTAAGTCCTCCTATCATCTTTTTTCTGTATGTTTGTATATTTTAGCCATTGACTAATGAAGAAATCGATAATAGGGGTACGTTATCTTTTTTTCTTCATCGTTTGAATATTTTTTTTCTTTTCCTTTTAGTCATCAACATCATTCAACATCGACGAGTGAGGTTTTTTTCTTATTTTTTCTTGAGATGAGATAAGTGAGAGTGAGTGAGGTATGTTGAGATTAGGGTTTCACCTTATAAGAAGGACTTCCGGGTAGTCCCTAAAAGCCTGGCCAGGAACTGTCTTGGTGTCCATGGCACATGATCAAGCCCCCAGACTCACTGACATATGAAATCGAATGGGTGCATGTGGATGAAGTGGGTCTTCCCGCGCGTGCGAATAGAATAGGTATGAATTCATTTTTTCATTCAATCGCGATTTATTTGTAAGAGAAAGAGACCAAAAAAAAATAAATTTAATCATCGTATTGAGTTCATGCGATATTAAATTTTTGTACTCGATGATTGTCCCTATCAACGACATAGAGATTACCATGTCGATCAAACGATAAACCTATGGGACAATTGAGTTGATTCGACTGTGCTCCTGGACCATTTTCACCAACAACGACACTTCCTTGTGTGGTTTCTTTTGGCCAACGTATGATTCGATGATTCCCAGAATCAGCCATATAGACAGTACCCAATTGATCAACAATGACTCCTTGAGGACTACTCAATTGTGTAGGACTATTTCCTTCTCCTTGACCACCGACTACGACAATGCCTTGTTTTGCACCTTGTTCCCATTTCATTACACGATCATTCAAATAATCAGACACATAAACTGAATGATCTCGATCGACATATACGTAGCTGGGATAAGAGAGTTGATCGAGACGATTTCCTTTTCCATTATCACCTGCAACTACTGTTCCTTTAGTGTCACCCATTTTATATCGTCTCACTTCATGTTTTCCTTTGTCAACGACATAGAGATAACCATTGTCGTCTATTGTCAAACCCCAGCAAAAGATATTTGAAATAATTGTTTCTCCATGAGTACCATTTCGACGAGGCCAACGAACTACTCTATTATTCCATCCATCGCTGATGATGAGACTATCGCTCTCTTTGTCGATAATCACATCATATGGGTAGTTTAACTGATGAGCTCCATTACCCTTTCCATTTCCACCAGCAACTACTTTCCCATTCGTTGCACCAGATTTCCATTCCACAATACGATCATTCAGATTTTCAGCGATATAAATCGTTTGATCATCATCGACATACAAACCATATGGACCATAGAGTTGATCGGTTTCACTGCCATCTCCATTTCCTCCAGCAACAGTGATACCATTCTGTGACCATGTTGCATTCGGATGAATATCAATGGAACTTGCACGCATTGGTACTAAAATGAAATAAAAGTATGAAGTAGAAATAAACATCGATTTCATTGGAATGAATCATTCTCATTTGTTTTAAACAGCATTGAACTGCTCTAAATTACAAAAGTTTTTTACTTATGAACTTGATTAGAATCTGGTTTTTCTCAATGTTGAAAACAAAACATTGTCGAATTTTTTCAAATATTTTGTATAAGAATCCTTAGTTTGACTAAAACTAACTAAAATTTAACTGGTAATGTGAAAAATTGCGATGAACTCGAATTTTATCATAAATGAAATTTTCTTTTATATCGAATTTTTTCAACATATTCACTGATTTCGTTAGTTTGAGTTTGAAATATATTTAAAAATTATTTCATTTTTTATTGTTTGAATTTTACAATAAAATGAGTTATAATAGAATTTGAACGTAAGGAAAAACAATTTTGTTATCAGTTGATAAGAAACGGTGTATGATTTATGTTCGTCACACATTTCTGAGTGAAATGAGACAAAATAAATTTACAACTTTTATATGAATTCGTTAAAAACATCTTGCTAGATAATAGCGATACTTAATTATGCTTAACTACCATGCATAGGACGTTTTTGACTGATTCATATAAAAAATTACAAATTTTTTGTGTAAGTATTTTTCTTTCTTATTCCATTTACGAATGTGTGACAAATATAAATCATACACCATTCGAAAGTATTTTATGCCATGAATTTTGCATCATACTTATTATTGAGTAATTTATCCCTGAATTGCAAACAAACAAGTAGTTTGTAGAAAGGCTAATCGAAGTGCTAAATAAGATAAGTTTAGATAAAATAATACGTAAGTTCGAATTTTAGTACATGAAAAGAACTCAAAAACAAATCTCTCCCAAGTTCAAGAATATTTGAAGAATCTGTCATGTTCATTATTCTGCATTGTAGCACAAACGATAATCTATATACGAATCAATCAAATCTTTTATTTTGAATTCATTTCTACTGTATTAAAAATTTTCAACTTAATAGGGTATGGGACACGTGTTTTTAAACAATAGTAGTTTCGATCAAGGATCGATTTCGAACTTTCTACAGATAAATTATTTTCGCTTCTTTACAAGACAATACAAATCTCCTATCGAAATCTTGATCTAAAATCTTTGCAAGTTTTTGTTTTGTAGATTATTCAATAGGTATAAATTTTTGAGGATTCTCACAAAAAAAGCAACGATCGTAAAGATTTTATCACGATTTTAGCTATTCTCAATAGTAATAAGTGTGAAGATTTCTTCTTCAAATTTTTATTGTATCGCATTCTGAACTGCTTAAAACCTAGAAGAAAGTTTTTTTTTGTTTGTCTAGAATTTTCTAAAGATTTATATTGATACTGACTTGAGCTTTAGACTAGAAACAATACTTCTATGATTATATCTTGAATGGACAGTTACGGAATCGATGAAGTTAATAAAAAATGTCATGGAGTTTTATAAACTCGCTAAAAATAATTTAAATAATTTCATTCCTTTTAATTTATCTATGAAGAATCTAGCTATAATTGAAATCTTGATTAAATTTAATACTATTTAATCAATTTTCATTTTTATTATGTGATATCATATATTTTTAATATGTTTAATGTCTCAGTGCAATTGGAAGAAAGTACATTTTAGTATTATTTCTTTTCTTCCATCGACAAAAAACAAATACGTGTAAAACGGTATGAGAACTATAATTATGTGTCAAACAACTTGAAGATGAGAGTCAGAAACAAAACAATACTTTCTGCTTTTTGAATCAAAGAGATTGTGAGACATAAAACTCTAGTAGGTAATTTTGTATTCTACTTATAGATGATGGCATAGATCTATATGAAATGCTTATTAACACTATAGATTTATTTCAATTAAATCAAA